CCTCATTATTCAGGACAGCGGTTTGGTCTTTGTATCGTCTTACTATAGATTGGATTATTATACTATCGTTTTTGTTTGGAAATTATTCTTCTCACATATCAACAAAACATCTACCTTTTGGTTCTATTATACCTTGAATTTTTCTCCGGTTAACTTCTTGCATAATTCTAAAATACTCTCGCCGATGAATTATGATCATACCATCGTTCACCTATATTATGAAGCACGACGTATCTTCGCTAAAGGACACGGGGATCTCGTTGGGGCATTCGTACCAGGACGCTGTGAGGAATTTAAGATCACGAATGGGTATCGCAAATTCAGCACGAAGTTCGTGAGATCCTCGCCTTGCTCCAAACGGAGGCGGCCAACGGGCTACGGAACAACAAACATTCGCCAAAGATTCAGTTACAGGGAGCGGAGGGAAGGAGCCGAGAACTAAAGTCTACGGCAAGTAAATGCATCTCTGTGCAAGATTCGGTTAAAACTGCCTAAAAGTCGAGACACTTGTGGTGAAATGTCGGAGACTCGTGGGCAGTTGCAGGCACCTGCGTGGGGCCCGCATGCAGAGGCAGGCGAAGCTACTGGGTCCTAACCACCTCCAGTCAAGGAAAGACGCGTGGAAGTCAGCCATTGCTGTGCTTATGTGGCCAAGCACAACATGGCACGGCCACTCCTCTTCTCTTCAAGTCTTCCCTCCTGTACTCCCCTTTCAGAGCCGATGCACCTAAAGCGGTCTCCCATCTCGATACTAGACTCGGCTCATAAGAACAGTCTCATGGGCCCCACGCGTAATGCTACCTATTTTTGAGGTCCTCTTACTTTTGGACCTGGAGCTGTAGCCATTGTTGACCGATTTATATTGCTGCTGTATTTAGTAGGAATTCGTATATTTGAATCTTGACCTCGATTTAGTGGTTCCTTTATGGAGCAAATTGGACCCTTCCGTTTTGGGCCTGAGCGGAAATTTCAGCAGTCCGATGGTGCTGCTTCAATAATGTCGCCCGTCGCACCTTGCGCCGTAGAAGAACTTCAGAGGATTGAGTTATTTTCTTTGCTCGGCAGTAAGTAGAGAAACTGTGAACATGTTTGCCCCTCAAACAGTCTTCTGGTTATATATACCGATATACTACCGAAGGGGAGCCCAAGTATTATGGCAATAAGGTTGGGAGGACCCCGTTCATGCGGCCTATTACTGCCTTCTTCCTCTTTTGTCTCATTGTATGATGTTTCCGGCCTTGGTGAATTCAAACCTTGCCTTGTGTCTTCTGTAATGATGTCAGGGCCCACACTCTTTCAACGAGTAGCTGCTAAGAAGAACCTCGTCGAGTTGGTGCTGGCTTTCTTTATCACTTCTTTCTCATAAACTCTCTGAATATCTTTTATATTCAGTATAGTTTACTGGTCGACCGAACGGTGATAAAAACTTGTTTTAAGGATGCAACATTATTACATTTCATTATACACTATATTGCAAATGAATTATAGTGTTTTTATGTCCTTTGAATGTCCAAGTTAACCAAGTAAGAAGATAAAGCAAAGTATAATAAACATTATACCCACTTGTTTAGAGTGAAGTCTTAAGTGGTACACCCTTGGATGAAACCCCATTGTTAAACTGGACTGCAGTGTTGAATGAGGTTATACCAATTTAAACACAATATTTAGCAGAATTTCAATGAATTGGACACATCTGATTTAGAAGTCACCGGCTGAGAATGCAATATTGAGAGATTCTTATGAGGTGAATTCGTATTGCCTAAACACACATTGCAACTAAAAACAATGGTTCATTCACTTCGCAAGGTAATGAGAACGGTATGAGAAACAAAATCATTTTCATTCACAGTCATAATTGAGCATTCAAGCTATCTACTTATTATTATTCTCTTCAAGAATTTGGCAAATAACTAACGTGTTTGGAATTTTATTTTAAATATTATTTTCATTAATTTTTTTCAAGAAGTATTTTAAAAGCATTACAGTAAAAGTTGAGTATATATTTAATACATAGATTACATTTTCGAAAAAACTATATATTCAACTAAAGATTAATTTGATATATTTAACAAACTACATATATGCTTGTTGTAATCATAGCAAGCATAAACATTCTAGAAGATATTTTGTGCAATATATTTTAGGTTAAATTATTTCAAAAAGTTTAAAAAATATTTAATTATATAATCTAGTTTTTAAATGATACAATCATATATGATATTACATTGACATCCAAAAAATCAATATGAATCCTGCATCTATAAAAAAAGTTGAATCAACATCTCTTACTCTTAGATAATAGTTATCAAAAGAGATCTAAAATCAAACTTACTAAAATCTTCTATCAAATTTTTTTTTCATAAATTGAAAAAAATATTTATTTTAACATTTGTATAAATCAAAGTAATTTTAGTGGATTAATTCACAATCTTAATATCTATTAAATAACATTTTATTTAGTTTTACATTAAAAACCTTCATGTTATGAAAGGCTACAGTGAACATTTAGTTTACTTATCACGTTTATAAATACTAACATGAACAAAAAAATGTATATCAAGTCTAAATTGCACAAAAAATACATAAAATAAATCCTACATTGATATATGTCAATAAATTGATTATGTTTTATTTATTGTTTATATTTACATAAAATAAAAATAATTCTAATATGTTGTTTGAAATCTTGTGTCTAGTGCATTTTTTTCTAATTTGGCTATGGAATTTAATTTTGTTTCTAATCAATATAGCCTAATGATGGATTAGATCTCACTTTTCATATACATGAATTCTAAAATATTAAATTCTGAAATATTTTAGAATATTTTATTCACACAAATATTTAACCTTCCTATGTTGATATATTACCTCAAGAGATATGAATCCTAGTCTGTCAATGACATTGATTTTGATACAAAATAGACAAAATACTTCAATTATTGAATTTTTTGCAGATTGAACAAATAGACCTAAAAAATTAAAATTAATACATTTGTTGATGGGATTTTTTGAGAAACAGTTTATTTATAGTACTACACAATCGACTCCATGCAATGTTTTTAAATCTTAAAAACGTATATTATTTAGTACTTTCTTCAATGAGAGACATTTGTAATTGATGCTTGCATATGAAAAAGTTTGATATGTTAACTCCCAATTTTCTTCTATAGCCTAATTGCATCTAACGGACCATGAATCATGGTCCTTGATGTCTAAATAGAAGATAAATACTAGGAAAAAGAGATGACACGATCTCTTTATGATTACATTCATACAATATTGTTCAAGAGGACGGCTCAAAGTTAAAATTGTCCAAATCATAATTACAAATATGCCATTATCTGTATCACTCAGCCAAGACATTCATGATACAATAATAATTCTTGATTTTTCATTACACACATTTTTATCCATATTCATTACATATGCACATCCAAAGGTGCCATGAATACCTGGATTTTAACTTCACCACAGCCATAAACTCCAACAATGTAAATATCTAGACGATCTGAGCTTGGAAATCACTTATTTTGTTTTCCTTTTATGTGATCAACTACAACATGATAAATCTACCTCGAGGAAGTGGTTGATGACGAAGCTCCCTACCCTTGTAGGCATCTGGAAGATTGCTCTCCAAATAAACGACTGTCCAAGTGGTTGTAAGTAAAGGTTAGTTGGCTAATAAGATTCTTTATTTTTCTGTCTAATTTGTAGAATGCCGAGTAAGGCTTGAGTCTTTATTGCAGGTGAAGAGGTGACATGTCAAGCAGTGAATTATACTTCATAAACTTAAGCTAATGTTTTATTTGTTATCAACCACCCAATCCGAGAAGCTAACATTTGGAGGAGTTGCAAAACTTGGACCACGCGTTGATTTTCTAACGGTAATGATATCGGACGATTTCATTAGTTCACCATGGATATGGAAGAAGCAAATCCAAGGGGTGGAGAAACACATATTCCTCAAGTATCTTGCATACTTGCATTATGGTAGAAGACAAGCTCCACCCTCTTCTTTATCTTATTGTATTCAGATATGCTGGTGAATAGCAGATTGGCGAACTATTACACAATTTGCAATAAACAAAACCTAATGCTATATCCATACCACACGTAACCACTACTGCTTATGAGTTGCATGCAAGGGACCATCACAATCATAGAACGAGAGTTACCAATATACATGGAGAGGTGCAAGATCTCTCTTTCGTTCAAGGGCTTCAGGGCAGGGGTGTCCCAGCACTTGCTGGACTTTTTACTTGCGATTAATTTCAGCGATCTCAGCGAATTTATTTCGCCTTCGGTTATTTTGGTCGTTCCCACTTACAAGAAGTTCATTACCAAATAAAGAGAGCTCGAGATTAGTGATAAAAGGGGACAACCCGATGGGGTTCCATAGAACCGCGAATGATGACAAAATCGCGGAGTAGTACAGATGTATGAGGCAAGGAGAGGGGGTCCCGAGAGGGGAAGGGGGTGGGGGGGTCATGGGCACCCCACACCCCGTTAACTATGTTGGCACCGAGGGGAGCGGATGCGCATGCCTCGGGCAACCTTGTACGCCGGGAGCTGGTACGGGTGGTGGTGGGTAAGGAGGCAAGCCCCGAAAAGAGGCAGTTCCGGCGTCTTTCTGTCCGCAAAGAAGGACCGAGTTTTCGTTATGTTCCGCGTCCTCATTCGAAGGACCGGCCGCTGCGATCGCGGATCGGGAATCGGGAGTCAATACGTTACTGCGTCGTCCAGCTCGGCACCGAGGGAGGAACGACTGCCTTCGCCTTCACCTTCACCTTCATTTCACCTTACCTGGTTTAATCTCGCAGTCCGTCGCAGTCAAGGCCGAAGGACTCCTGTTCCATACCAGGCATACCTGCCTGCCTGCCTGCCTGCCTGCCCTTCCCGGGCCGACCCGTTCGGTCCAGGGGGGCTCCCGCCCCTCCCCGCTTGACCTTCTGCCCCGGCCTGCCTGCCCTACGCTGCCCGCGCGGCCTGCCTGCCTGCGCCTTCCTGCTGGCTGCTGCTTGTGCTACACTCTTCCGAGGATCCAGCCTCTTGGTGGTAGTTTGCATATTGCCCTCGCGCACTTGCTCGCTCTCGTTCGTTCGATGCTCGCTGCGTCTGTGTGCGTCTCTGCGACTCTCTCTGCGCTGCACTTTCTTCCCCTCCCATCCCTCTCTTGCTCCAAGAGCTGATACGCGTTAGCGGGTGCTCTCGTTTGGATGCCCGAGCGCAATGGTGTCGGGACGTGTGTATAGATTTCTCGTCGAGGCGTCGCCCCGCTGTTCCCATGCTGTTCTGGAGCGGTGAAGAGAAGAGAAGAGAAGAGGAGAGAAAAGAAGAGAAGAGAACAGAAGCGAAGCGAAGTTTTACGAAGGCCCGCTGGAGCGTTCGTCGCCCTATTTTTCCCGCATGTGATTTTTGGCAGTTTTCTACAATTTTTACTCGTTCTCGAGGCCCTGGTGTGGAGGTCTCGTCATGTGTTTCTTGGGATTCGATCGATGGGTTGTAGCCGTTTGTGTCGTGAAGAAGCCGAAGGTTGTCGTCGGCAGGGAGCGTGAATGAGTTCAATTTTGTGAAATTTTCGGGGGAAGGACCTTTGTGTGGAATTTCACGGCAAAAATGGAGGGAATGTCTGGTTGGGGGAGGGATGTTCTTGGGAGGTTGGTGTGATGCTTTCCGCTCAAAGTGGTTTTTGCGGGCTCGAGGAGGCCTGTAGCATGGTAGGTGAGAAAGGAAGTGTGGCCTCCTGCCCAACGGCCCACTTTCTCCTCTCTGAATAGCAGCATGTTGAAAGAGCGCAGTGTCGTATTCAGTGTAGTATTTCCTGTCTGCAGTTGAAATCAGGTGGGGAAGGAGACTCTGAAGAAGTTCATTCGGGATCGCATATTGCTTTTTCGATATTTTTGCTGCATTGAGTCGTAGATGCCCTGTACGGCGATATAACGCGCAAGTTGAGAGCCGTTTTTACCTTTTAGAAGAAGTGCTCATGCGGCAGGCGCTTCTGCTGCCGGGATTGTTACAACTGTACCATGGCATCCAGTTCACAGAGGCGGTTTGTGGATTGGGAGGAGCGGTTCGTCTCCCATGAACGGGGATTTCGAGTTGTTCATTATCTTCTCCGGGACCGAGAAGGTACCCCGTGGCTAGCCGTGGTAGGAACGGAACGGAGCCTGCGGCATATGGTCTATGTGGTCCGTGACGAGTTTTTGCCTATTGCCGGCTTGGACAAGTCTACAACGTCAGGTTACAAATGGAGAGCTCGCCGAGAAGTGGTGGACTGGTTGTCGTCTTTGATCATCAAAAGTCGTTTTTCTGATGCGAACCATTCTGCAGGTATAAAACACGCTCATGCCATTGATTTGGTCCCGAACATGTGCACAGTTCGCCCCGAGGTTTTGCTGATATTGCTGTATCGCTGTCTCATCAGTCCTACCACCTGCCGATGTTTCCATAACCCGTAACCGTTTCTCATGAGATTCGTTTCGTTTGCCCAAAGCGTGGGTATAATGCACCCGTCTCTCTTAATGACCTCGATTTTGCACTGCTGTAAACGCGTGTTTCCGTCGGCGGCGGTCTGGCAACGTGACGGGCTCTGCCTGCCGACGTATACGTTCCCACTAATTTTTGTCTGGCTCTGCTTCCTCCAGTGCTACAGACACTAATTTCACCAGAGCTGTATTTTCTGCAGTTTTTTATGCTTTGTAATCAAACATTGCCTAAGCGCCCAGATCTCTTTTCACGAGAGGTGGTTTGCAGTTGAAGTCCAACTCCTTTCAAGATTGTGCAATCCGTTCCTTCGTATCACCCCTTCAACTGCTTCCCGCTTGCGACGACTCTGTTCCGTAGCAATACGAAACTGTTTGCAACTTCCAATGTCAGCTTGTACCCTTTTGGACGCCTTAGCGCTATTCTCTCACAGGACGCATTGACTACAGGATTGATTTCTACTTCATCATCCAAGTGACCTGTTACTGAGCAAGTATCCGTCGTTTTCCTGCGCAGGTTCCTCTCGAAACGCTTTGAACTCTTCCACAGACGTCGATAGTTCCTACAGCCACGATGCCGACGGTATTGAGAGCGGGCAGGAGGAAAGTCGAAGACACCATTACGTACGGTTTTTTCTCGACATACCCGACAGTCTCATGATGTTTTCGCAGGAGTTTTGCTCAAAACCATTTCACCGTCCACCGGGTCACCTGTTAGCAGCGAGTGAGACGCTTAGTGAATCACCTGCTTAGCACCCCGCCGTCTAGGGTTTGTGACGTATTCTGAACAAACCAATTGTCGATCACTGGGCAGTTCTCGTGGATCGCTTTCAATTTTATTTTGTGTATACGAGCACCGCAACGAAAAGCATGAAGTTGTTCAATACCTTTTTGTTTGAGGTTGAAGAGTATTTATTTCGGAAGGACGTGTGGAAAAGTAGGAATGTTTATCTGTCCTGGTGACCGAGGGGGATCATTGTGTGCCCAGTCAGTAGACAGGCGAAAGGTCCGAAGAGTGCGAGTGACTCTTATGGTCACGTATGAATAGGTTACTCGTATTTGCGCGAGTCTAATTCAGGCACTCACCGTCGGTCCGTGACAGTCGTGGCTTAATCTGTGAATCACCTCCCTCTCGTACTGAGTAGCTTTTTTAGCACTGTTTTCTCCTTTGCGGCCGGAGACCTCCGACTGAACGTATACAACTGAACCTCCGACTGTAATCTCTTGTTCACTCGCGCACGTCCTCATCTAAACCTTAGTCCTTGTCAGAGCTACACGGCACGCAGAAATATTATTCTGCCCGTGTTGTAGGCGGTTTTTCCCGCAGCGAGAGACCTCCTTAGGTCAGTGGGATCCTCTGTTGTAGGTACTGGCAGACGGAAGTTCTGTCAAATCAACTTGCGCATCAACAAACTTGTTAACGACGACTAGGCGAGTCTTTTCGACTTCTCTGCCTTGAAGTCTAGCTCACAGCTTCTGTTTTTTTAATCTGCGCAGGAGGTCGAGGCGCGGAGACAGATATCGGGTTCGAGCCCTAGCTCAGATATCGAGTGGGTGGGAGCGGAGTGGACTTGCCGGAAGAAGCTGAAGCACTTCCAGGCGTTCCGGCGTAATGGCGTCGTAATTCATGTAAGGACAAATTTCGCTATTCCGCTTTGAGTTCGTAGATGTGACCTTCTGAGGGAAAGGTTATCTGCGAAGAAGCTGTGGGTTGATCCTGCAGCACGCCTCTTTTTCTCGCCTCACATGAACCCTGTTTTGGTTTGCTCGATAGGCCAGCAACAGTTACGATCGTAGCCTCGATTTTTCGTTTTCTTAGGGCTCGTCTTACATAGTCAAATTACCGATGGTCAGCGTTTTCTTCTGACTTCCAGATCAATAGCTTCAATCATGGACCGCCCGCGTTTTCATTAGTAGCCTTGCGTTTGTCTACGTAGTGATTTATGGCAGGATCTGGTGAATTGAGTGCGGTCAAACGCAGAGGACGGTGTGCTGGATAGGGCACTGGTTCCTTGTGGAACTTTGGGAGCAGTCAGCATCCGTCTGTGCGTCTAGAGGTGAATGGCAGAGAATGTCTTGCTTGGCTGTATAGGCAATTGCGTCGTGTAGCCCAGATGGCACGAGGACGCGAAACCCTGGGTCTCATCGCCGTCTGTGAATCGTGCAGATGCGAAGGTTCGTCTACGTGATGACGGAGGAGAAAGAACGACACATCGCGCACGTCCAGGACCTGTACGAGGACAAGAAGCAGAGAAAAAAATTGCGAGTGCGCTGGTTCCACAAGCCGAGCGAGCTCGGGTGCAAGATTCCGCCGCCGGCGCCCGATCGCCGCGAGGTGTTCTACACGAGCTACGAACAGGATCTGAGCGTCGAGTGCGTGGACGGCGTGGCGACCGTGCTCACGCCCGAGCATTACCAGCAGGCTCTGCTGCTCTCGGGCGGATCGAACCTCATGGCCACCACGCACATGTGCTCGCGCCAATTCGACACCGATGGAATCCGGCCCCTGAACATCGAGTACCTCCATGGCTACGCCGAGCAGCCCGTCTTCGGCACCCTCGGCATCAACCACATGCTGCTCGCCGATGCGCCCGACCAGCAGGGCAACGACAGCATGGACATCGACGAGGACGAAGGCGCCGACGTGGGCAAGGCCGTGCGCCGCGGCCCGCGCACCGGCCCGCGCGGGTCCAGGCGCCGCGCCGGCGCGCCCAGCACCAAGAACACCCGGTCGCAAAGCACCAAGGGAGCGGCAGCCGGAGCGGGCGCACCCGGCTCTAGCCCGTTGCTCTGGGCCTCGTCGGCGCAGAGGCCGTCGGGCGACGTCGCAGTGCGGAGATCGGCGGATGCGGCCACCGCCAGCGGGAGCGGGTCCGGTGACTGGAAGGAACCGTCGAGCAGCGGGGCCGCCGGGTGCAGTGAGGACGCGGGCTTCAGCTTTACCATTTTCCATTTACCATTCGCCCCCACCACGCCCTGCGCGTACCACATCGGCGACCACGTCGAGGTGCTGAGCCAGGACAGCGGCGTGCGCGGTTGCTGGTTCCGGGCCGCCGTGGTCGGCCTGGCGCATCGCCGGATCAAAGTGCGGTACACGGACCTTCTGGACGAGAACAACGAGGCAACTATCGAGGTGAGAGTTCGCGCCCTTCTTGCTCGATGGCTCGATCCTCCATCACGTCGCAATTGGGCGATTTTTCCTGACGCCTGTTTGTTCCACAGAGCCTGATTTCTGACTCTTGTTTCTGGTTGGTTTTTTTCTCAGGAATGGAAGTCGACGACGGAAGTGTCCAATCCGTTCTTGCCGAACTTTCGAGCCAGAGGACGGCCGACGATCAGACCTTGTCGCGAGGATTCCGAGATCAGGTCCCACAAGCTCTTGATGGACACCGGCGTGCTCGTGGACGCCTGGATATCGGATGGATGGTGGGAAGGAATGATGGAAAACATCGGTGGCGGATACGTCAACGTATATTTCCCAGGTGGGTTCTCGGCTGCTTTGGGACTTGGCAAATCGTTTTGGGCTGCGAGTGGTCTGATATTTGCAGATTCGTCGATGTGATTGTCTATGTTTTCGATGTTTACTCAGAGTTTGTACTCTTCTGCTGCCGTGCAGAGGAACGCTACCGAGCGACGGTCCGAGAATCGGATTTGAGACCTTCGTGGGAGTGGATGCACGGGCGTTGGTCGTCTGTGTCTTTGCTTCTGGGCTGCGCTCCGCTCGATGTGAAGCCCAGCCCTAAAGCAAGCAATCAAACCAGCAATGGATCGAGTATACTCGGATCGCATGCCAACGGAAGTCTGGAGTCTGGCTCCTTCGATGAAGAGGCAGGTGCTCGGATTCTGAGCATGATATCGAAGTCCACAAGCTGCGCTGTGGGGAGAGACTCGTGGAACGCTCCTCCTCGGGTCGGAGGACCCGGCAATGTTGAAGAAGACAGTCAGCACGCGTGCGATCACAGCCGCAAGCTAACGACGACGGGATCCGCCTCGAGACCTGACGCCGAGGATTGCACCGGAGTAGCCATGACAAAATCAGGGAAAGTAGAGGAACTGACGCACGTCTTGGAGTCCGTCAAGGAGGAGCGACAGGACAGTGAGAGCAGTCGTGATTCTAGCCGCCGAATGGCGGTGGACTCCGGTGATGAAGTGAAGAAAGTCACATCGACTGGTCTGAAGTGGAGGAGAAAACGACATAGGCAAATCCCGAGCTTGGGGAACGTCGTCGTTCACTCGCTCTCCGCTGATAGTAAGGAGAGTTTGGAGAGAAGCAGAGACGACTCTCGCGTCGATCGGCCCGCTGAGGACTTGAGGCTGTTAGACAATGTGGAGAAATACTCCAGGTTGAAATCTGGAGACATGGAAGAGATGCCGAAGTTTAAGCAACACAGGCACGGGAAAATACACGGGACACCCATGGGGACCTCGTTCTTGATGACCTCTATCCCTATAGCCAACCTGGTTATGTCCAGGTAACTTATAACGTTTTGCACGCATGTGACGTCAAATTGCTGCTAACGAGCACCCCCTTGTCCAGCAGTTTGTGGGCGTCTTCATTTTGACATTCGAGCTTTGGTGCAAACATCTGCACCAGGAGAGGCCACCAGTTTCTGTTTCAGTAGTGAGAAATAATGAGGCATTTAAGCCCTGTATTGGGCGTGTAAAGAAGAAAATGTAGAGAAGACATCCTTTCCTTGTCTCATTGGTAATCCTCTGTATATTTGAAGATGCCAAGCCGTGTGGCGGGCCTGACGGTCACCGGATTGTATTTACTCTTTTGAGATGAAGAAATGTATACGAAGGCGGCAAAGGATATTCTGTTGATATGTTTGAGTAAACGATACCTGTATTTCGCGTCGTGTGTCTTCTTTGGGTTGTCAAGTGCATGCCACACAAACCATCTCTGATAATCAAAGTTCCATGTCGTTCCTGCGTAGATATTAGTTGTTAGCGATTGTTAGTGAGGACACACTGGAGTCAAACAAATTTCATGTTCTGAGTCTGAATTACAGCTGCAAAGCAAACCACACTTATTGGTACAGAACTTGAAAATTTGAAAACAATTATTTCTGCATGATGAGAGCATCTCGAAATGGGCATATGCAAAAATCAGTAGTCACAAGTCCGCATTTTCAAGAACATCTCTCGAGGAAACAAACCGAAATTTGTATATTGTAAGCGCAAGCGCAAACACCTGACCGTTGCACGACGACGTCCGGGTTCGAGTTGACTCCTTTGTGCTGGGGTCCTGCCAGCAACGATAGTAATGTACATAAACGAGTCGTGTCTGAGCCGACGCCTGAGTTCCAAACCCTAAACGTACTCTCTGCGTAATCCGTGGTAACTGATGCGGTGGGGACAGGCTGTCATCGGCCGTCAGCTATGGAACCGAGGTCACGGGAGATGCAAATCAAGGTTGGTATGGTGAGCAAAATGAAGTCAGATGCGAAGAGACGGATCCGAAACCCGTGTCCGTTATATCCAGTGAGCGAAGTCCCAATGCAGGTTCGATGCGCGCGCGCAAATGGGAACGCAAGGCCCTTCTAGCTCTGCTCAAAAAGTCCTGAGCGCACGATTCCTCCTCCCTTCTTGCCGCCATCGGCCTTCCGACGATCTTGATGCAGAATGTTGGTCCGCTCCCGCCGCCGCCTTCTCCATTTTGTCTCAGCCCTGCCTGCCGATTCGGAATTCAATCGTGGCGGGAGACTGCCGGATTTCTCACAATCTAATGACGATGTGACAACTCTTGCGAAGCTTATTAACTTTCAGCCGAGTTTCTGACTTCCACGGCGGAAGACAGAATCACGGCCACAAGGCCCATTCCTTCCAACCCGAGAGTTAGTTGTCCATGCGCCGGCCATAACTCAACGAAACTCTGGTCAAAACATTTCCTCTCGCCTTCGCGGCGAAGATGTAGAAGACGTCTTCTCTTCCATCACAACCATCAAAGTACGGTTGTGGTTATCCCTCTTCGCCCTGTCTAGCACATATAGGGGAAACAAGGTGCTTTCAGCTACTTTTTTTTAAGATCATTTGCTAACGTGGACTTTACAGCGTCCTCATTTTAGGCTAAAACTTGGAATGGTTATGAGAGTATATCGCTAGTACAAAATTCAGTATTGACGAGGATTTACGAGATGTAAAGCATGCAATTTTTTTACTAGCGATGAACATTCCATCATGAGCGTTTTTGTACTTTGATTTGAAAGATAGGAGGCTTTTAGGATACTTAACTTCATCGTCCACTCTTGTAGCCCTATCCACTTTTTCGACTCACTTGCATATACTTGTGGCTTCTCTAGCCATTTCAAGGGAGAAACCTCCGTTTCTGTCCAGTGCGCTTGACTCTCGTCCCTGCAAGTAATGGCACAATCCTGGTTAACTCAGTTGCTACATTCTCTGATTGAGTATGATTAAGCTTTTGAATCAAAAGAGGAAGAATATCGTAGTCAATGAACATCCTTTGTGGTATACTGTTTAATACTAAGCAGTGTACTTGTCACATTTGGTCAAAGAAAGAAGTGCAATTTGTACGTACCCGCTACTGCTGCGTTCATGTAGGCGGTCATCAACTTCTACTCTGGTAAAGGAAGATAGAATCGATGGTACTGGACCACCCATTTGAAAGCTGAGGTTCAAATTTTTTATTGTTGAAATGCTAGATTTCCGCTGAGCATGATCTGGTTGCTCTCCAATTAGAGTCTTACTCCAGTGAGATCGTTATTTATCGGCACTGTACTCTCAGATGATGATTATGGTGTCCATGTTAATCCAGGTATCGTGTGACATTTGGATGATTGTGATCACCGTCGTCTGTTCACCTTCAGCCAGAAGCTTAAACCAGATGTCACCTTCCGGTGACATTTCGAAAATTTGGTACCCTAGTCACACATTTCCTTGCATCATCCCCACCTCCTCCCCACACTCCCTCCCTCTTTCCCCTAGTCTCACCTCGTCTGTAGAAGATAGACGACACGAGAGGGCAAGCCGTACTTTTCCTGATATTCCTACTATCGCGCACATGATGTCACCCTTCAAAACCATGGAGGTTGGATGTCCATTTCTCCTTTCACTGGACTTCTGCTACGTACATGCAGATCCCGGCCTGTCTGGCACCAGGAATCGCATAAGGATCTTACTCTGAACATTCTCTTGTCTCGAATTCCGTTTCAAACTACGTACAATTTCTCCGAAGCACTAATGAGCTTCATTTCCTGGCTCATGAAGTGCAAGTAGTTGCGATACGTAGATCACAAAGATGGTGGACAAAGAGATCGAATATCCACTCCATTAAACGTGATGAATTGAGCCAATCATATACACTGTTTACAGAAGACTATCTCTTGAAGAAAAGATATAGTCTTCTGTAAACAGAAGACTGTCTCTAAACCCTAAACCCTAATCTTCATACCCTTCAAGAAAAGTCTGCACTGGCAGACTTGTTCTCGTTCAAGATGTTCCAGAAATTTCACCTGGACAATGAGAACCAAATTCAGTTATGTTACTTCCATTGTGTTTTGTGGTGAAATGTGACAGTTTCTCTTCTGCAAATCAAGGAAGCAGCTGCAAATACATGAGTTTTGAAAGAAACAGTAGGGCTCCAGTTGGGACTAGCTTTCAGAACAAGTTCGGAAGTGTTCACAAGAAGGTAGTTAGCCGCAACAAGAGCTACCAATGGCAGTGGGTTCCATGTGGGAACTACTCAAAGGTTGCCTCTGTGGCAACTAGCTGGCAGATATACTTCCCCTCAAATCGTCCTTAAAACTTACATCGTTTCCCAGGAAGAGTCCCCCGTACCCGCTGCTCTAGGGTCAAAAGTCTTGGACCGGCGAAACTCCAAAGTCTGTTGTGGAGAGGTTTAATAGCGCAATCGCTTAGATGTGTCTCGTGACGCCCAAACTCCTGAAATCACTGCTGAAGGCCGGATGAGTCCACCCAAATGACCCCAGGTGACGCTCGGAAGCCGAATTATTGTTCAGCCCAGCTCACTAACCTCATGAAATGAGGAACGAATCGTTGATGATGAAGAAAGGAATGGAAGTTCTTTCTTCTGTATCCACCCCCACCAACCAACTGCTGAAGCAAGGGACGGGTGTTGTAGCTCCAAAGACGTCGACTTGCAATTGTTGCAGACCAAGCAAGCAAGCAAGGTTTGTTTGAAGCACCCAGATCGGACCAATCACGAACAAACCGTGGAAGCTGATTGATTGTGTGACGGCTGCAATTCAGATAAGATTCTTGGGGAAGCTCCATCAGTCGTGACAGCTGAGAACCAACTCCAGGTCTCCATCACTACCTCGTTTATATCGTTCGATCTCGGACTGACTGTTCAGGCTGCTTTGACCTTACCAGATTTGGTCACTCCTGTACTGAATCTGGTGAAATCTCTTGACGGAGATCGTTCTTCGCAGGGGCCTGTACACAAACAGTTTCATCTATTCCCGTACATGGAACTCGATCGCCGTGGGCTCTTCTTCTTCACAGGGTGCAAGTTGTATTCATATGCATGGAGTCGCAAGCATTAATTTTTCATTCAGGCTCTTCGGAATGAGAAAAACTCAAATTTTTGTCTTCTTCTGGCAAAAACAATAAAATCGTCCTGTATGAAAAGCAAGCGATGTAAAGTGGGATGAAGAAACATTGACAAGAACACACAACAAAATCAAAATACATATTCAAGCCTTCCAGGAAAAGAAAAACGAAAGAAACATCTTCTCCCTATCAATTGGAAAAGCAATAGATTTTCCAGACAAAGAAGGAGTAAAATTGGATTATTGGATAACAAAAAAACATGTGAATGCCTTATCAAACCTAACAAGTATGAAACCGAATAGTTAACCATGGGCTATAGATATGTACATTTCAACAGGACTTGGCTAAATTCAGCTTGGCTCGGATGGCAGGGAGGGCTCATGCAAAATGTAACCGATGTTCTCACAAGCTTGTATCACGGTGATGATAATGGCTGGTTTTTCTTGATCTGGTAATCCGTTACCAATGGAGTTGCTAGACGAGCTGGATCTCATGCAGTTCGTCCAAGCAAGATGGTTTCCACGGTGTCCGATCTGGTCATAGAACAAGAATAGTTGAACTTTTTACAACATTTTACACTTTGCCACTTTCTCACTCCTCCGTCATCCAAGAATGGATTATCATCCATATGTGAAACTCTAGTCCTTGTAAGATATGTAAACACCACACATGCAACCATATCTTGATGGGAGATCAAATTATGATATCACAAACCAAGAACAGATCCAACATAATGTTAGTCTGACATAACATATACTAAGGCTACAATCGATTGAGATTGAACCTCAGGCACCATCGCAAACATTATATCACTAAGAACACGGTTAAATATATTATCACTCTCTTGTACGAAGCCATGTGAATAATGAAGATGGATGAAAACCGGATCCTATCGATATGGATAACATAACTAGTGCAATTCGGAAAACACTTTTGCAATGTAGAAACAAGATCCATTGATGAATCATCGAAGTGAGTAATTCCAATCAAGACTGGGAATGAATGTAAATCGTTCTGAGAATGTATCCAGATAGGTTGTAAACTTCTAATACTATCAATGGGGAATGAAAAAAATACGAATGTTCATGTTTTACTAAGAGAAATATTATGTAACACATTCTATCTATCAATGAAGCTGCAAGGGGTGGACCATGACTCCCAACCAGGTAAAGACATTTGAAGAAGGTCACAGTAACAACCTAGAATTTACATGTGTTCTCTCGTGAAAATCTGCATGTCTACCAACAGAAGTCTTCGTAGATCTGAGCTGGAACTCCCTAATGCATTATTCCTGCAGTTTATATAGTCATTTACATAGATTAGATATTACACATTTAAGGTCTCGTATTTAGTAATCGTGATTTTCAAATATTTTGGTGTACTACGTAGCAGTAAATTCAACTTTGTCTCAAAATAAAGATCTATGTAGGCGGGGAATAATATGTATGTATGATGTATCTATCATCTTCTTTTACAGAAACGAAGCGTTTTTTTGAAGAAATATTCATCAGACTTCTAGCCCAAGCACTGGACAGAGCCATTCACAGGCGTGACAGGTGCGAACTATCTTTTCTACCATGCATCATATTGGTAGTATCACATTGAAGGATAATTAGAAAAGGACCATCTCATCCAGATCACATCTTTTCCTCAGCAGTCAAATCAAAACAAAGATTCAAAGAAATGTTGAAAATTCCCTTCCCTTCGCGCCTGCTTGTTGTCAATCGCTTTCATATGGCTAGGTCCCTTTCAAGTAAACAAATAATACGGGCACCAACCTTCGCTCTCCGATGGATGACTGACTAACCGACTGACTGCCCGGCCGGTGACCGGATCCTGATGTAGTTAGTGCGGCAAGAGTCGACAAGAGGTACTCGTGGGCAGTCACTTCCGTGTAACCACCCGCGGTGGCGACGACGATGATGAAAACCGGTGGCCCGAATGAACTCGCGGCCTCCCAGTGAGTCAAAGAAGGGACGTCCACGCACTTCGCAAGAAATAATCGAACCATCGAAACGACCTCCACGCAACCGTCTTCTTCCGGTACGGACGGCAGACCTACCCGCCTCCCTCCCCGTCCGCCCCGTCAGCCAGCCAGCCAGCCAGGCTGACTTGTCACGGTCTTGCTGTGACCGGACCGGACGCTGACCGTTACACCCCTCGCATGCCCTGGAAACAAGTCTGGATGTCTTCCATCGCAAGCTTTCCTATGGTTATCATAGATCTGAAAATCATACGAAGATGTGATGATGCATGTGATGATGTTGGAAGATGTTTTTATGCGTAGCTCTTTCATTATGCAAGTAAATTCCCACAAGAAAATCTTTTCGGAATGGATTGGACAATTATATTGGATAATACAAGGATCGAATGATAGAGATTTTATTTTTCGACTGTGAAGCTACTGTATTGCACGCAAGTCCTGGTTTATGGCAGACTCGAATACGGACTCACATTTATTGTAGACTTAGTGTTGAGACTCTCCCCATGTGCCAACCAGTGAAACAACATTGATACAACGTGAATGCCGTAGAAAGTGTTATATTGGTCCATACAAATCTCTAGTAGACTATGGTTACAAGTACGAACAAGTCAGCTCCTTGTCGTAAATGTGGCTTTTCACATACCGTCTACCACATTGTCATCTCGTTGGAATAAGAAGCGTTCAAGACATGTGTCATTTTCATATTCTCCATTCTGTTTGGATGCTATGCATTCACGAGATTGGGTCTGATATATAGAAGCACATCGAGGAAAAAAGATATGTAGCATTTTGCTCCATTTCATTTTCAAAATTCGTTTTTATTTTTTATTTTATCATTTAGGTAACAAGATTAGACATTAGAATGTAGATCTGTCCAAGGGACATATTTTTATTTCACATGGAGAGGTACATTGATTATCAATGGAGTAGATGCTCCCTATGTCAATTTTGGCGAGTATGTTACTCTTCACAGCTTTCTTACCTTCTTTATATGTAGCTGAAACATAGTTCAAATTTGCATTGTATATGAGAAAGTAGATTCTGTTTCCTTCTCACATGACTATTATGTGAAGATGATAATATATTTAATATACATAATAATATTAATAAAAATATATATTTTACATATGAATGGCTGCAGGTTGATTGTGACGAAAAAGGGTATTTTTTTGGATAATTTCTGCCGATTCAAAGTGTTGATAGATCTAAGTCTTTGTCAAATATAAAATAATGGTCAGAATCCAAAAGATATATAGGACAATGCTTGTTAATTACTGATGTTTTTTCTCAAAGTGAAGTTAACATGAGACATGACCAAAAAAATCCTCTTATTTTTCTAATTTTGTTATCATTTTTTGAGCATGATTGAATTGTCATTAGGATAATGATTTTATTAGTTAAGTTTTAAAAGTTTCAAATTTGATCATTTTTCAAATTTTATTATGTCTAAATTTGAGACATGAAAATGCATAGTTTTATTTATTTTGATCACTTTGTATCTAAACTTGCATATTTTGACAATTTTTAACATATAGATTTAAATTGAGTCACAATCATATAGCTTGAAATTATTGATTTCATTCAATAGATACATAATAAAATCTTATATGAAAAAGTCACTGAAAAACCGATGTCTGTCGATGTGGTTGACTTAAAAAGTTTGATGTAGATAAATAGTTTGATGTAGATGAGTTTCATTTTGCTATCCATCATTTGATTTGCAACAAAATGTAACAAAGTTTGTCCATAACAATGAAGATTAACAGTTTTTTTGTTTTGATTTAATCTTAACAATCAAAATATTTTACTAAATTTATACTTTGTTGCATCATTTTCAATTGAAATATTTTTTTGTCACTACATATTCAATTTTTGTTTTGGACTAAGATATCCATTTTTGATGATACAATGATATTATGATAAAACCCATGTATTCATCACCAAGTATAAACAAATACTTTGTTTCAGATCTTGTGCATAGTCAACATGAGCTTAGATTAGCAAGGATTAAACATGATCTAATAAGACATTAAAAAAACCATGATTTTTATTTTTTTAGAGATATTTCAAAATACAGATCACAACTTTTTGATGTTTTTCTTTGGTTTGATATATATATATATATATATATATATATCTATCTATCTATTCACCTTGTCCATATATATATACATACAAATAAGATCAAATACACCAGATTGTCCATTGCTTTGTTCTTGAAAAATTGATGACATATTTATCATCTCAATGAAATGGATTAAACATTGAATTTCAAAAGGCTTGAATTATTACCCAAGTAATAAATATTATTCAAAAACATGTAATGTTAAATCTTTCAAGCACACAATAAATGTACTCATTTTGACTTAAATATAGCTTTTCATTCTTACTACGAATTACTACGAATGCCAATCAAGTTTCAATGATTTTTTTCTTGTCATATATTTGATTGTACTTCCGCTTGAATTATTGTTTGCTATCAATAGAATCAAAGGTTGAATTTCTAACTATTCTATTAGCTTTCACATCTTGTTAGCAATCAATAATTGCATCTCACGCTCTAGAGAAATATTGCACTCAAGACTTCTGAGAGAGTCTTGAGTTTTTTTATGATAATAGGGATTTTTTTCTTCTG